TATATATATATATATATATGTATATATATTTAATTTTTTTTTTTTTTTTTTTTTTAAAGCAGAAGACAAAGTAGGACGTTGTGGTGACGAGACGGCGTGATGGTATAGCACGTGCAGGCCAGGCAGGCCAAGGCCTCGAGACCGGCTGCTCTAGTGTGTGCCGGAGAAGGGGGATCCTGGGACAAGCATTTCCTAAGTGGACAAAGTGGCCGTTTGTCCGCTCGCTCTGGCCCATCGCTCACTAGGCTCCAGTATGCCATCATGCTTTTTCTTGTGTCTCAGTCTTTGGCTTCCTATCCTGATGGTGGGAGGAGGGTGGATGGCAAGTGGGGGGGGGGGGGAAAAGACACGAAGAGGAGAAGGAAGAGGAGGAGTGACGAATGAGAGGAGAGAGAAAGGATGTGGCCTGAGCCCTGGGAGCCGGCCAAGTCGCCCTCCCTTTGCTCCGCTCTGTCTCCCTCTGCTACCAAAACCCCTCCCCGCCTGCCTCTTGCTACACAATGGCTGCTTCTCTGCTGAAATTTCACGTTATTGGATGCCGGGCCTGGAGTTTTGTACTCCCACAATGTCCAGGCAGTGGAGCATGCTGTAGGGGAGACACACTCTGCAAGCTAAGAGCTGGAAAACCAGTCCTCCTTTCATTAACATCAGAAAAGGGGAGAAAAGTCCCCCCACTCCAAACTAATTTTTTCCATCTCGCCATCGCTCCTGCGTGGACCTGTATCAAAACTAGAGAAACATTGTCTGGCTCCACAAAAGAAATTTGGCTTGTAGGACTTTATAAGCGTTTGTGGGGTAGGAAATTTATTTTTTTTTAAATAATTGGCAAAATAATCAAGCTACTTATCCCAATCCGATTTTGTAGCTTATCCTCTGTTCGGATCTCGGTAAATGAAGGGTAAAAGCTAAGCTAGGTTTAAAACAAATCAGGTCAGATTTGAACACTGACAAAAAGAGACAAGAAACCGCAGCATTCAGTTGACCATCGCAGATAAACAACAACATGCAATCCAGGGCGCAACTGT